TTGATGAGCCTATACAGTATTGTGTTCATGTATGTGACGTCACTGAAGGCCTAAGGTTGAAATGCACGGCCCGCCACTGATGTTAATATTATTAAGAGTACATTACAAAGAGAAGGCATACATTTAACTTTATTTTTAAACACCATATTGTATTTCTTTTAAGAATTTGATTTTAACGAGTGTTTGGCGGAAATGCAACATATTTCCGGACTGGCATTTGTGGAGAATCTGAGGTCTGCATGGACGTGGGTAGGTGGTGGTGGTGGGATGCGGGGGTGGGGGGTGGGGTGGGGGCTGCAGTAAGACTCACTTGCTGAATGTGGACACATATTAAATTGTAGGAACCTCTTGAGGATGAACAATGAAAACATGATGCACCCAAGCCCAGTGTTTGAGCTTCCTGGCGAAGGCTGTGAATACTTATGTCTGTGTCATTCATTCATTCATTCAATCATTGATTGATTGATTGATTGATTGATTGATTGATTGATTGATTGGGCGGGCGGCCCGGTGGTCCAGTGGTTAGTGCGTCATCCTCACAGTCCAGCTTTGGCCTCCCTGTGTGGAGTTTACATGTTCTCCCCGGGCCTGCGTGGGTTTTCTCCGGGTACTCCGGTTTCCTCCCACATTCCAAAAACATGCATGACAGGCTGAGTGAACACTCTAAATTGTCCCTAGGTGTGAGTGTGAGCGCGGGTGGTTTTTTGTCTCTGTGTGCCCTGCGATTGGCTGGCAACCGGTTCAGGGTGTCCCCCGCCTACTGCCCGAAGACTGCTGGGATAGGCTCCAGCACCCCCCGCAGCCCTTGTGAGGATGAAGCGGAATAGAAAATGGATGGATGGATATTTATTTATTATTTATGCCTTTGATATTAAATCAGGCGGCCTGGTGGTCGACTGGTTAGCGCAGGGGTGTCAAACGTACGGCCCGCGGGCCGGATCCGGCCCCCAAAGGACTTTAATCCGGCCCGCGAGATGATTATGTAAAGCAGTGGTGTCAAACAT